TTCTATTGGATTTACTTTTCAAGTGCAATGTTTACTCATGAATGATTATACATCGTTTTCAAGAATCAATACTTTTATATCAATTACCAAAAATGGTAAAAATAATTAGTTAATCAATCAATATTATGATTGCATTCAAGATTGATAAGAGATTGCATTCAAGAGATGCATTATATTAAATTGTAAATAAATTTACAATAATAAACTCTCTTTGCTTTATTGTAAATGTACTTCTTCGATTATTTAATTTTAACAAACTATTAAACCATTGTGGTAAACCTCACAACTTAACTGGCAAAAGTTATTTCATAAGATAAAATCCAATTAAAATTATGCTAAATTTTATATAAATTAATAAATCATAATAATTTTTAGTATTTCAATAAATTAAAATTATTTACCTTCACTGGATACATCAATTCGTCGAAACTGTTTATCAACTTCCAATAAATATTTAAATTCATTATTGATTGGATCTTCTGAACATTCTTCATCCTTAACAACAACACCTTCTAATGGACCAAATTGTGTACGTTTTTGAATTGTTTTCCGTGCAAACACACCAAACTCTTTAATAAACAACAAGTATTATTAAAATAGCCATTTAAATTACACAATAATTTTTAAATCACTCACTAATATTTAAATTATTTTGATCTTTGATTTTCATTATTTTTAAATGTGTAGCTGGTAATGATGCTCTAGCTCTAGTTTGTACAGCTATATCAATGATACTGCTCACTTGGTGCACTGGACAACTGGATTCATTATGATAAAGTTTATTACAATCTTCACACCCTAAAAATATAAATTGTATTTCTATTAATTTAATTTAGTAATACCTCTAACTATTTAATTTTAAAAAAAAAAAAAAAATAAAAAACTTATTTCAATTATTTAGTTTAATTCAATATTAAAAAATAATTACTATGAATAGGTAACATTGTTATATTAATTGTATATGTATTTAAAAATTATTCTTTTTTAAAATAAGATTAAAAATAGACTAAAATCAAACTTTATAAAATTATATAAAAAAGGCAATTATTTATAATTTTAAATTTAAATACTATTGAAATTATAACTTTGCCCGTTGTTTTTAATATTTACATCAATAAAAGTTTATAAAACAATAATTTCTCTAAACAGACATTTTTTTAAGAGACCCAACTTTAAATAGGTTAAAATTAAGTTATTTACAATTATATCAATAAATATAATTACATACTTAATTGTGAGAGTATATGTTAAAAAATATTAACTTATGAATTCAATATTCAATAAGCTTTTAATAATAAAAATGTTTAAAACTGTTTCAGAAGTAAACACATACACAAACACAAGTAATAAAAAACAACATAATAATAATTGTAAATATAAAAATATATATTACTTAACAATTTTATTAAAAATCGACTTTTAAGATTAAGTTGATAATAAAATATGTTTGTCATGATTTTATGAATATTCAATACTTAATTATTACAGAAACAGTACTTACAATATTCTATTTGAGCTGGTGGTTTTAGATTTAGTCTACTGACAAAGTTAATACTTATGTCTTCATCAATACATTGTGGTTGTCTAACAAACTCTTCTGCTATCTTTTCAATTGTTTCTTTTGACATTCTTTGAAACCCTTCAAAAATATAATAAAAAATAAAACAAAATAATTTGAGAACTATCAATAATCAAATTAAATATGTTTTTTTTCAATACCAGAACTATGATGATCAACATCGAGAGAAACACTTTCAGATTCTTCATCAATCCTATCCTTTAAATGACCACTATTAAGTGGAATTTGAGATTCATCAACAACTGCTATATCACAGGTATCAATATCATCTACTAATTCTTCGTGATTAACCAGTAAATCCACATTATGATGGGATTTTGGAGATGGTAATAAGCTTAATTCATCAATAGATACTATTTTTTGAGCAATATGATTTTCTTGGACAGAACTAGACTGTGGTACATAAAATTCATTTTCATCATTATTGACATTATTTAATACATCATTTTCTTTCAATGACACTTCAATATAACTGCCACCATTTTCTGAAAAAATAAATCGTTTGTTTCCTGTTTGCATAACCATATCTTCTTGACTATGACCTAAATTGTTGACAAAGTTATTTGTTTGTTTCGGAATAAATGACAACTGATCCATCTGTCCCAAATTGTTATCATGTGAAAGATTTTCCATAACTGAATGTGTATTAGATACTTGAGATATATTATTAGATTTAAGATGATATAAATCATTTTGAAAATACTCTTCTGGCATTGATACCATGGTTTCCACTTCAGAAATATCCCTATATTCTGGTAACATCACATTTTGAGAGTGTTTGGCAATACCAAAATCTGTGGTTTGATTATCTTTAGCATAAAACAAATATATTTATAAATATATATATATATATATATATATGAAAAATAAATTGATTAAATAAAATCAAAATAAACAACTTACCAAGAACCGTCATTGAATCTATATCACTGTTGGTAAGTACATCATAAGAATCAGTTAACACAATGTTATCATCTGTGAATGTATCTTTAGTGAAGTCTATACTTTTAAACTTCATACCACTAATCTAAAAGATAATAAATAAAATTAGTATCTCGTAAAAAATAGATTTACATAATTATATTTTATAAATATAGATTTTTCATGAATTATAAAGGTATATAATAAAATAAAACTAATTTAGTTTAGGTATATACTGAATATAACAATAGGTAAATCATTGCAGGTGAAAAATCTAAGGACAAAGGAAACAAAAAGTTCAAAGGAATCAGAAATAAAAAATGAAAAAGTCCAGATTCAAGTATGAACTCCGATATGAAACATTTGTATTTAAAAATAATTATTATGTTATCAGTTCAAATGTTTTAAAATAATCTGAAAAAAAATAAAAACATAAAAATAAGGTATGAAAAATATATACATATGCATATATCAATTATGTCCAATCAATTCTATCTACAAGGTTAATAATACCTAATCTTCTTCTTGTTCTTAGACTTTACCCCAGTTATTTGTAGTTGGCAACCTCCAATATAAACTTCCACAAGATTCAATCTCTCACATACATGCGCTGACCTCATATCTCATCAAACCACTTCTTTTTCAATCTTCCTCTCTCTTTCTTCCCACCCATGTCTATTTTCATTACAATTTTGACTGCTTCTGAATCCTCTCTCATGATGATATACCCAAACAATCTCAGTTTATTTTCTGTCATTTTATCCACTATCAAAGCCACACGTAAACTACTTCAGATGTACTCATTACTAATCTTATCATCTTTCATTACTTCACTCATCCACCTAAGCATTCTCATTCCTACTCATCTCTGTTCTATTTTTTTATCTATCAGCCACAACTTCGAACAATATAACATAGACAGTCTCATCATACTCTTATAAAACATACATTTAAATTTTATTAGAATCCTTTTAACATACCAAAATTAATAATATTTACTTAAAATTTTAGTATAAATAACAGTTAAAAATATATTTTGTAATGATTATATCATATAAGGGTAAATAAGAGTGTAAAGATTCCATAAATTCTACAGTGATATAATATAAAAAATTCTATTCACAACCTAGATAGGTATTATAATATGTAAAGCAAATAAAATATGTTCAGTAAATTTTACCTATTATAGTATTTTACTAAAATTGTAAATAAAAAATTATATTATAAAATACATAACGTCAAATAAAATTACAATTACCAGAAAATGTCCAGTACTTTGCTTTAAATCAGAAGAACCTGGTCTGTTAATATTCTCCACTTGATCAAAGTCTTCACACCAATTAGAGCTTGAATTTTGTTCGTCCATAGTTGAGTGGTACTAACTGAACAAAAGTAAATTAATTTTTAAAACAATAATGCAATGATTATTGTATTAGTTGTGGGTAAATACATTGCCTAATATTTATATTTTAAATGTATTCAATAGAAACGAATATTTTTACTATTATAATCAATAAAGGATTACTATTTTGTATAACGTGTGTTATCTTTTATATTTTTGTTGATAAAACAATGAAATGATACGGATTAATTTTTTTTTCTACGATCTTAGAACTTTTCTAAAACTGTGTTTTTTCTATGCGTTGGCCCCATAGAGTAATATGGTTGGCTCGTCAGCTGACAACGGTTATCGATGTTGCGTATTAATAAGAGATTATGTTATCTAATAAAAATCCTTATCAAGTACGATTGAATTTACAAATTAGATGCAAAGGAACTTTAAAATTAATTAAACGGACATAATTTACAAAGCCGCTGAAAATTTGCAATTTATTTATACCCTAATACCAAAGTGAATCTAGGAAAAAACAATCAAAATGATAATATAATCAGTGAATTAGTATAATCACCGTACTCGCCAGACCTGGCTCCTTATGACTTCTTGCTATACCCAAAAATTCAAAGTTCATTAAAAGGAACCCATTTTCAAACGGTTGATGATGTAAAAATGAAAACGGCAGAACTTCTGAAAGAGTTGATTGACAACATTGTTTTCAAGAATAGCAGCGACGTATGCTACAGTGTGTGTATAGATGCTGAGGGAGGGTACTTTGAAGATGATAATCATTAAATTATAAAATTTTAAAAATAAATCACTTTATTAGGAAAATCTCGTTACTATTTTGTCACCTCGTTTACATTTTTTTTTTTTTCAATTAATAGTGTTAGCATTTTAAACTTCATAACAATATTGATAACACAGAAAATTGACTGATAATTATATTTATTTATTATTTATATTATATTGATTATATTATTATCATTTTTTTTTTACTTTCCGTAAACCTAGATAGATAATAAAAAAATGGATAAGATTTGGATAGCCCATCCACATCTAGTTTATTATCTATGGGTATAACTTATAATTTATAATTAAATTTATCACAAATGATATCTCTGTAGAAATTAGTATATCATAAATCATTTATGTGATATATATATCACATATGAGTGTAATTATACTCTCAGCTCTTGTACTATTTTTCATAGTATATGATCTAACTATCTAAGGTAATAGTGATAAATAAATAAATAATAATAATAAAAAATGTTGTACCCCAATATTTAATTGTATCATTGTACCACCAACTGATATAGGTATGGGTTTTTTTTTCCTCCCAAGCCAAAGTTCAACCTAAATAATTAAACAATGATAAAATAGACTATTAACTATTTTTAATTATAAATGTATTTTACAAGAATATGATTATTTTAATTTGAGGTATTCAATTTAATTTTCATATCTCATACTGCTGAAAATGCCATGTTCCTAATATAACATAATATTTATTTAGTTTTATTATAATGTATCTACTATATATATTATTTACTATTTAATAATTGTATTATTCATATTCAATTGATTCCATTACCTATAAGTTTTTTTTTTTATTCTTATTTCAAAAATAAATTAAAAGTTGTTTATTTCTTATCAAACAGTCTTGTCCACACATTGAATGCGTGAATAATAATATGTAGGTAATCATTAATGTATTAATTGTTATCTATATCATAATGAATTATATTTAATTTAACTAGATTTTGTAAATTATGTGTATTACACTATTGTGTGTGTACTCAGCAAAGAAAATATCACGACAGTTGATTTTTGTATTTAAAACATTTAGAATGGCTTCAAGTATTTCAGGTAATATAAAATGACTTCCTAATAATACTATTTTTATCAGCACAGTTCTTATAAGTAATATATTTTTTATTAGGTTTCCGAGTGGCTGTATTGCAATTGACCGTCACTGCTGATAAATCAGCGAACATAACTAATGCAGTGAATCGCATACAGCAAGCAAAAAAGGAAGGCTGTACATTAACCATTCTACCAGAATGTTTCAACTCACCATACAATACTGGTAAAATTAATTATCAGATAAATTGAATTATGGATATTAGATTATAATATGATTTCAGTAAACTAAAAATTAAAAAGTCCAACAGTTGGATATTGTACTGATAAATCATATAATATTATAAATACTGGTCACCCAATTAAATTGTTTAAAAAAAAAAAAAAAACAAAGTTCAATAGTTAAAAATTAGATTTACAGTAATTTTATTAAACTCGAAATTTTAAACAGATTGTATTGTTTGTATTTAAAGGTTTGTTCAGACAATACTCTGAAATCATTCCCGGTGGTGAAACATGCCAAGCTTTATCTAAAGCTGCCAAATCAAATGGTATGTACATTGTGGGAGGTTCAATCCCGGAAATACATGATGAAAAAGTTTATAATACATGCACAGTTTGGGATCCTAATGGAAACATGATAGCCAAACATAGAAAAGTACTTATGAAGTATAATTTGATTATCTATTGCTAAAGTATAATTAATACAGTTAAACTATGATAAATGGAAATTCTATAAACTTTTAAGAGGATTTAACATTTATACATTTCATTTAAAATCTTATAAATAAATAGATTAGTAGGTATTTGAACTGAATTAATTAGATAATATTATAATTTTCACAGAATGAATATTACATAATATAAATTCATCATATATTGGTATGTATTAAACAATTTTACTTACATGCATATTATTATTATTTTATAGATGCATTTATTTGATATAAATATTCCTGGTGGTATTTACTTCAAAGAATCTGATGCCTTGACTGCAGGCAACACACTCAATACATTTCAATTAGGTAAATTTAAAATTGGCCTGGGAATTTGTTATGATATACGTTTTTCAGAAATGGCAACCCTATACCGGAAGCAAGGTTTTTCATAAAATTGTTAACACATTTTTAAAAAATGTTATAAAAAAATATTGCTTTTAGGATGTGATATGCTAATATATCCTAGTGCTTTTAACATGACAACTGGACCTTTACATTGGAGTTTATTAACTAGGTGTCGAGCAGTAGATAACCAAGTATTTGTAGTAGTTGCTTCACCAGCCAGGGTTACTAATTCCAATTATATTGCATGGGGTCATTCAATGGTTGTTGATCCTTGGGGTAAAATTTTAAGTGAAGCCAGTGAAAAAGATATGAATTTATATTTAGATCTCGGTAAATATGATTTTTATTTAAATTTTAATGTTCATCAATACATTATGTTATTTAATGTTTACAGATTTTAATAGTCGAGAAACTATAAGGCAACAAATACCAACTGAAAATCAAAGAAGAATTGATATTTATGATACAATTGAAATTAAATAAATATTGATTATAAATTTATGAAAACTATAATACTTACTAAGTTTATAAAATAAGAAATTAAACACATTAAAGGATATTATAACAAGATTTGTTAACAATTATTGATCTTTTTCACTATTGACAACTATTCAATATACATTGACAACTCGTTTAGTTTTTATGATACCTAATAAAAAAGTTATGAATGTTTAACAAAACTTATAATATATTACATTTTATTAAAATAGTATTAAGTTTTCTAGTCTGTTAATGAGGGAACGGGTTGTTTCTGTGTATACATACTGAACTCTGCCAATATGGCAGTCAATCAAGCAGTCATTTTTATTACAACACATAATGATGTTGTGAAGGTAACCAGTTTCGGTTAGCACGGCACTGAGACCTACAAGAGAGCTCTTGTAGGAGGCCATAGTTGAAAGTTTTGTCCGTTTTTCTATGAGAAAAGTTAAAGCATTAGCCATAATGCATTAAACTTCAGCATCATACAGACTTAAGGAATCGAAACCTCCGTATTAACCTAACATATAAACTAAGTCAGCCATATAGTAGTACAGGAAAATTTAAGCATTGAATCTATTAAAACAAAAGAACTGAACTAAAATAAAGTTTTTTGCCTTTATGTCTAATGAACTAGTAGATAATACATTGTATAATTGTTGCTGTTCATAATATATGAATCCAGGACCGGCTTGGAAAATATCAATACCAGGTGTAGTCAAATTTGGGCCACTAAAAGGTTTTATTTTTATTTTTCTACTTTTAATACAAAGTATAAGTACATGTTTACATTTACTCAAAAAATGACCTCCGTAATGTATAACTAGTAAAATTATCAATCCCCTGAACTTTGTCTTATCCATTTCAGACGAATTTTTATCACACGATACGATACTACGATAAGAGTATATGAATTTTTATCAAACGGGACCACGGTTATGAACTTCGACCATATAGATTATATATCTTAAATCATAGTTATAAATGTGTGTTGTTAAGGAAACTCATAGACCTTAAAATGCCTTCACAGTTCAATGTGAAACGTAAAACGTAATAATTTACAATTTGTTCACCATGGTTGATATAATTTAAATTAGTTGAATCATTATTATTAAACTGTGGTGAACACACGATCCGACTAGGATTGAACTTAACCATCCAGTATGAACAGTATAGGGAAGGTATTAAAATCAAAAATGATGATTGGTCAATCATCACCACTATAAAACAATAGTTAACCACAACATAATAACCACATGGTTCAACCAATCATAGTGCTAGAATATTTCCTGTGAAGGCACCTTTATACTACAGTATAAGGTCTATGAAAAAACTCGCCGATATCTATTAACAAAATGATTGTTATCGTTGTTGTTTTTAAATATTGATAAAATATGATTATTACAACGAAAATAATCAAAAATCTTTTTTTCGCAAAATTATTTAATTAATTATTTAATTTTGCGAAAAAAAGATTTTTGTTAAAAATAAATAAAAAGATTTGTTTATAAACCTTAAAACATAATACTTGTATGTGTTTTAAATTTCTACGGTATAATATTAAACATTGCTGTCTATATAATGTCGGATAAAGCAATGCTTGTTCTGGGTGAAGCTCCAGAGTCGGACGACGAAGAACTTCAACAAGAAGTAAATTACTATACGTGTAATGAACAATTTCAATACACATAACCTCCCCAATTTCTAACGAGGCCACTTTTTATAATTATTAATATATGCCATTAATATCTATTTATATTATTTTTAATTGGTGTAACAAAAGTGTATATTTTGACCACTGTCAATTTTCATTTTTGGTACTTCAACTGTTCATTATATAGTTGAACATTGTTTTCAAGCTCAGGTTCTTATATTAACATCAATTATTCCTAACACATTGTACTACACATATTGTATTTAGATCTAGTAGGTATACAAAATATTGTAACCTTTGAATAATTTGTGTATAAATTATTTTAGAATTATAATAATGATGGTAATAATTCCAAGAGTTCAAAAAGTGGAATAGCGGAAAATGAACAAGTTGAATTTGACTCGGATTCCAATAATCATACAAGTATATATTAGAAATATTTATTTGTGACATAATAATATGTCTTTGTTTATATTAATTAATAAATATTATTTTTCATTCAATAATAATTTTTGATTTATGAAGGACGTAAAAGTCGTACTGTGAAAGAAAGTTTTGCTGGGCGTACTGACAATTATAAAATGTCTGAAGACACTTTATTGCATAGAAAATTAAGTAAGTAACCTATTGTTACTAACTGTTCGACATTGTTATTCATTAGTTTTTTAATAATTTTGATTAAATTTACTCTAGAAGAAAAAAACATTCATTTTTATTCAAATCTCACATCTTTTAATAAACAAATGTATATAAATGCCATGAATCAAATGAACGAAACTAACCAACAGCTTGTTAAAGCTCAAGTATTGCTTCAGGATACTGTAACAAATTGGAAGTATATTGAACAAAACTTATCACATATAAAAAGGAAGATGACAGACATATTATCTGAAGAATATATTCCAAAAATAAAAATTTAAATTTTATGTGTTTATTATTAATAGAAAATAAAAATAACTTTTTGTCTTTTTTAACAAAAAATAATAAATATTTATACTTTTATGTGTACAACATTGAGTAGTGATGTCGTGTGATTTACAAATGATCCTAAAATCGAAAAAAAATATAATACAGTTTTTCACTGTCCTAATTTTTAGATTCTGATTGGAGCAAAGAAGCTCATGGTTTTACAAAGATGTTTATTTTTTTTTTCTGTAGACAACTTTTCTACCAGCAGTTTTATTCCAACTTTTAATAATAGACATTTTTCTAAAAGGAAATTTCACTGGAGAGGTACTTTTGAGCAGTGTTTTCCAACTGGTGTTTCGCGGAACCCAAAAGTTTCATGAACCATCGCCAAGGGTGCCATGAGGAATTTGTAAAAAATAAATTAGTAAACATTTTATTATTATTATTAATTATATATTATTAAAGTAAACATAATATTCTTTATTTAATAATATTTGCTTAAAATTGTACCAATTTTACCGGTTTTTCACATTTGCTAGGAAAACTCTTGGGAAAATCGAAAAATAACCTCCTCAAGGTACCATAGTGATAAAATTTCCATTTAGAAAATAAGCTACACTTGATACATTGGAGTAAGATTTTTGGTAGAAAAGTTTACATAACAAATCGAGGGGTTTTTGCGATTGAAATATTTCGAGCGATGGATTTGGTCCCAAAGTACAACCAAAATGGATTTGTTTTTTCCTTGTTGAGTTAAAAGGGTGAAAAAAATGTAAAAAATTTGTTTTTGAATCACAGGTTCAAACTCGCAAACCCTAAAATGATAATAGGTATGAATATCCATTCAGCTACTACAAACGTAATTTAAGGGAGACAACACTTAGTTATTTAACATAACATATAATATCCGTGTATCAAAACTTCAAAAAAACTTTATCAATCTGCTTAATTCTGACTTCGCCATCATTTTTGAATCAGCAATATATATATATTCCAAAAAAAAATGAAAGTTTAATTTGTTCCACATAATTTTATACTCAAACGATTTTCGTCAAAATGTTGTATTAAAATTCCTTTATAAAAAAAAAAATAATACATTAAACTTAACTTTTTTTTTAGCCACAAAGTAAGACTCTTAATGAACCTCCTATTAAATTTTCAAGCATTTCTGTTAAGTCTAACAATTGTACCGCAGAGTACCTACTGAATAAAAATTATGTGCAAAATTAGCAATATTTAAATGTCTATAACTAACCCAACAATTTTATCACATATTAAAGAGCTGGGAAAAAACATAGGAAAACCAGGGAAATCGGTACAACATTAAACAAATATTATTAAAGAAAATACTATTTAATTATTTTACTTTAATATGGCATATATATTGTTGACAAGTATCACTATCAATTGAACTCTTCTCAGAATCGTTTTTCGTTAACAATGGTTTATCGTTGCTTACAAATATACATTAAATTCCAGTCTGTATTCTACCTTATTAACTTCCCACATATACAAATTACTACACCCATCTCCATTACCTTTTTACTTTTATGACCTAAAAAATAAATTTGTTATAGAGAACTGTGGATATGCAAGCAAATTGTATTTAGTTACCATTTAATCGCACCACAATAATGATATATTTTTACTTTAATGGCAGTTTTTATTTTTTTAATTCAATACTATTTCAAGTCATAGTACATATTTACTATTATACTAAAATGACTAAAATGGAAATAATTTTCACAATAGTATTTTTGACTTGATAGCTGATACCTACAGCATCGTCAAAATCATAATATACTAGGAATGGTATAATTAATTATTATATGAATAATTAAAATAAGTATTTATGTAAAGCTCTATGGTACTTATGTTATATTATGTCTTAATAATATTGCATTATAGTATTATATACTATTAAAATGAATTATAATATAGGTACTTACTTTATCAGCACTGGTGAACCTAGGGGGTTCAACATGTACTTAAAGAGGCAAGTCAATAAACAAGTGAGAATAATACACAATAGGTATGTTTTTTCTAAAATAATTTTAGAGTGACTTATTTACTATGAAATTGAGCATATTTTTCCATACTCCAAAAAGGGGTCAACATGTGCAGTAATGTCAATAAATCAAACAGCAATTGAAAAATCGATGACCATTTTAAAAATTATTGTCGGATTAGGCATGCATTTTGGAATAATAATGAGCTGTTTCAACTAAAAATACGCAGTTGTGGAGGCCACTTGATTTAAAAAAATTTACAAGGCAATTTTATGAAGGCTTCCTTTAACTTTATTAGATCAATATCCAGTTTAAATTTTGAACGAGATTTGTATGTTTCAAAGTTAATAAGTACACACAGCACTAAAAATTACAATACAATTCTTAATACTAGTCACAGACAGGAAAAATTTGATGTGTCTATTTAGTATAATACTATAGGTATAAATAACTTAATTTATAAAAATATAAAGCTAGCACACAATTCTATTTTATAAAGATAATTTCCAAATAAATGGGAAAAACAGGAAAATAGATACAATATTAAATAAATATTATTAAAGAAAATATATAATGCATGTTATTATTTTACCATAATATGACATATATATATTGTTGACAAAGCAACACTTTTAACTGAACTTCACATAGACTCATTTTTCGTAGCAATATATATTAGATATACATTAAATTTCCCCTCTACCTTCCCAATTTTTCACCAACAACGAGGAAGTATGCAGTTTTTTTTGTTTACAGTTATAAATTTTTACATAATACCAAATGATTTTCAAGTCAATATTATGATATGATGGTGCTAAGTAACGCACTTTATATTGTGGTCGTTTTTTTAAATAGTCATCACCCTTGTTATTTTAATCCATTTTCTTACTTTAATCAACACTGACACATAAATTAACAACTTAAAACACATAAAATATATTTTAATATTTAATCATAAAAGGTGTTAACAATAATCAAGCATTTAAAAGTGTGCGTCTCTGCTCCTCCATTATATTGGTGTCCTTACTAGCCGGCCAGTCATAGAGGCTCTTTTCGTGTACCACATATATGTAGATTATGTATCTGTATTAGTAATGTTTGACAAATTTATTATCAATTGTTCGCTGTCTTGAAAAGCCAGAATGAATGTCCAAAAACTTAAAACTCTCAACTTTAGCTGTCTTTTTCTGTTCCTTCTAACTCACACACTATATAATCTGTTTTATTCTAATTATATTTAGTCCATTTTCTTTAAGAACTTCTCTCTTCCTCAAGCCGATGGTTAGCTTCTTCCAAATTTTTTTTTATGAGAGATATATCAATTGTAAACATTATGTGCCATGTTTCCTCCTCTCACCTCTACAGAAACAATATCATATGACTACTAGAATCAACCACCTAGGATTTCCACTAGTAGGAGTTTGGCGCCTTATGTAACATTCTATGCCCCCCTGAAATTTCTAATACATGATAAATGAAATTATGTATACAAATAACAATAAAACTATTTAAAAAAATCAAAAGAATTTTAGTAGTAGAAATAAGATATAATTGAATAAAAACTTTTAATATTATAATAAATTAAGATAAGTATCTAAAAACAATTTTATATTTGTTTTTTAGATATTGTAAACATAAGCAGATAAAAATAAAAATAATATGTGCAAATACTAATTTTTTAAGTCTTTAATCATATATACTATTAATGTGTTCCTTAAAATGATGAAGTCTTAAACTTAAGTACTAATGTACTAGTGACAATTGTAAATGAAATGACAATTTAAAAAAAACTAATATCAAGAAATATCAATATAAGATAAATTTAAGATAATTTTAACTTAAATAAGTATTTAAAAAAATTTCTATACTAAGTAAAAATTGTTTAAACAGCAGCTCTGCGTTTGATAGACATTTTTCCTTTTGACAAATAAGACAAATTAATACGAAACTTACTGTTATCTGATGTTTTCTTCACCCAAATCTGTTAAAAAAAAGAATGTATCACACCATTTTTTTTCCAAAGTACAAAATTATAATAAATAAATCACTTACAGTTTCATTTCCAATGGCAGATATGACTGCTGGGAATTTCACTATTTGTTTTCCTTCAACAAAAACTGTTTGTCCACGGTGATACCATCGTTTTTCAAACAAAAGCTTTCCATCTTCGATTCTTGTGTCAGGAATTGTTGATGATCCTTCGGTATCTGAATTCTGAGTTTTTTTAGGACTCATACTACCAGTTGATGAACTTGCACTTGTAAGAAACCCTGAATAAATATGATTAAAACAAACACATTTACCACACTAATTCAATGTAAATATTACACAAGTATGTAAAAGTACTAATAAGATTCAATATTTATATACATTTGCATAAAAATTGTATACTTTTGATAAGGACACTTAAAAACATGAACACGTGGAGGGTAAGGTAGGCAGCCGTCCTCCATGCAGGCTGAATTTTTATCCAAAAATAATATTTTACTTTATTTATTTAGGTACCTAGTCATTATTTGGGCAATTGTGTTTGAAAGTTCGTGACTGATATAAATATGATAACAATTTACTACAAATCTGTGATATGGACAAAATGATTCAGTTCATTATTATTAATTATTGTTTTTATGTTAATAACAATTTATTATATTTTAAAAATAAGAATATAAGTATAAAGCAAAGTGTGATATTTGTATTATTATTATTATTTTGTATTTTGTAATAGGTACATGCAGTAATAAATAATATTAGATAAATTATATTATATATTAAAATAATCAATCTTATTCATATTAATGTAATATATTATACATATGATAATGATTGAAAAATGTTATATTAATAAAGTAAACCTATTTGGTTCCCACTTCTACTGAAAAATATTTTAGCAGGCACTGGTGATATTAACAAAACAAAATTCTAACTCCCCCCCCCTTGCCATTAAGGTTTGTACACACTTATGAATACATTACTCATACCAATCATACCATCAAATGTCTAAGTGTCAAATCTACTAGTGTATAGAAAATATAAAATCTAGGTAAAAGAAGTGTATACTTTTTATTATAAAAAACAAATTAACCAGTAAATAACCACTATTAAAACTATAAAACTATTAACATAATACATTTTACATATCAAACTAGACTTGAAGATTTTGTGATCAGTTGCTAATAGTGAAAGCAAAACCAATAAATTAGAATTGGACCCATGTATATTGTATTGTATATAATATTATGACTTGCCTGGTTTCCTAATTGTTGCAGAATTCACTGTATCGCGTGTTTTGGCTGTTGAAGTTGCTGGAGTAGGAACATTAAGTGGTATGGAATTGTAAGAATCCTGAATAATCTTTAAATCTTGTTCAATTTCATTTTCGTTTAACATATAACAAATATTTGATACTGGTGGTGGCTTGCGGCGTTTTTCTTGTGGAGTCGGAACTACAGGATCATTTGGTCTTCTTCTTAATTTTCTTGTCATAGCAGGTTTATGATCTGAAGACTCTGTAACTAAAAATAATAACAATTATATAAAAATATAAATGATTTATTGTAGAGCATAGGTCATAAGTCAAATAAATTTCTTTAATGCAGTAAGCATATTTATAAAATGTATTATTATTTTTAAGAAATTATCAAATATGGACATAGATAGTATGTATTGGTGTTAATAAGTAATTGGCTGCAACTTTAAAATTTTATCATAGTTCATAGTTTAACATATGTGTATTTGATATTAACATGAAAAAATGTGAATAATATGCACACAATGTGACAAATAATGGGTTATAAAACAAATAATATCATGCACTAAATTTATTTTAATATATATATATATATATGAAAACTCCATACCAAGTTCCATGTTTAGATAATCATTTTCGATCATCTTTTTCCTCTCGTTTAACTCTGATATAAGTGACTCACTGAGTTCAGCTTTGCGATCATCAAAATCTTTGTGAGTAAGACGTCGTTCTCTGGTGAATTCCAATTCAATAGATTCAGCTATACTATCTCTCCAATAACTGTTCATCAATAATCTACACGAATAGGTAATAATATAATAATTAACTGTATGTTTTAATTTTTTTTTTAAAGTGATATCAGTGGTGACGCCATAAAATAATAAAGAAAAATAATTTTCAGCGTTTGTGACTGAATTGACACAGATGTTAACAAATATAAACTAATTAGCATATACAAATGATAATGTCATAAGAAATTTCGTTAGGAATTCTGATTATATGAAGAAATGTATTTAAAAAAACACTCCCAACTCCTGATATGTTCATAATTTTATCTTATCCATTTTTGAAATATGTAGAATATATAAAATTAATATATTTTATAAAATCATTTATCAAGATACTTTTTTTTAGTATCTTGTCCAACTCTGCTTAACCTAACCTCTAAGATGACAAGATAAAAGTTATACAATTAACTTTCTATTAAAGTATACACAAAATATATTGTTGTGTTAAGTTTTGTAAAATTCATTAATGAGATTACAACCAGAGACTGTTCGGTTGGTTTGTTTTTAACTAAGTCTTTAACTTAAAGGTAAGAAGATTAAACATGCCAAAGCATTGATATTTTTTCGATAATTTAATTTTTAAGTAAGATATAATCATTCTTAAATTATGATATTTAAATTACTCATATCTCATTTAAAATATTGAAAAATCATCAATGCTAGAGCACATGCAATCTTCTTACCTTTAATATTGTTAATAGGTCAATTTGCTTTAATATTAAGACTAACGGCACAAAATGTGTCCTACTGAATGCAAATTTGCTACGCGTTTGTAAAATAGAGACAGTAGATGTCGGTGTGGTGTTATGGTATGCAATTAAATGACTAAACATATTGTTCAACACTTCACAAATGTTATGCGTTCTACTACTATCTGTTATGGTAATTTAGTGAACATTCATTGCTGGAAGAGGAAATTTAAAGTCAATAAAAGCTAATTCTTAAATCGTCATTATTTCTTATTCTTTGAAAAGTAGCACTCACATAAACAAAATCAAAAATCACTAAGTCCATAATAGAATTCTGCATGGGTCGGGCTGACCCAACCCTGACTTGATCGGACCAGGCCTTATATTCCTCACAAGTGAATGGGTCCAAGTGGGCTTTACTTTTTAAATTAAGTATAGGAAGGTTCAGGTTTCAAAATTTAGAATACTAAAGAGCTTTTTATGGATTGGGTTTTTCATATCAAAGTATGGGGTAGGCTGAGCTGGGCTTTTATATTATTAACTGAAATATTTTTGGACAAACAAAAATTAATAATATGGAGGAAAAGATTGTATAATATGTGACTTACAGCTGTATTTAAATACACAATATACACAATACATATTGATTTGATTATTTCAAATTCATTTATTTATATATATATATAAACGGGATTAGCTTAGATATTACTAGATAAACATCTGGACTAAATTAGAAGTATACTTCAATAGTATTTTTGTTCTTGAGTTCAGAAGATGTTAAATTTGAATATTTAGTGTACCAAAAATCTATTTCTCCTTTTTAATATATGATCATTTAAATTTGAATTGTTACATTCATCAATTATATCTCGATATGTTTCTACTATTTGTTTGAATTTATCTTTAATATCTTCAGATATTTTCATTTCTATCTTACTTAAAATACAATCAAAATCATTCAAAACAATCGAGTGCGATATAAATCTCTTGGTCAATTGGTCTAAACAATTATCTATAAAAGGTCTGAATACTTGAAAAAATATTCTGGATTTTTTGATTTAGATTCATGTAACAAACTAACAGTAATATCAAATTTTTCACAGACAGTTATTACGGATAAAAATGATTGTTGAAACTCTACATTGCAATTTTCTCTGACATGCTTAATATTATTTTGAACATTAGCAGCTTCTAGTACAGTTTTTAAATCAATATTTAATGTTTGAAGATATCAGCTAAGTGGAAAACTTATAGAAAATAGATAAAGCTGTTTAAAATGTTAACTGTTTTATCGCAGTAAGATGACTTGCAGAACTAGAAGTGTCAGAATCTGTCCAAAGTGTAATTTTATCTAATGCATGTAAAATGGCTGGTTGAAGGTCTTCAAATAATATAAAAATATTTCTTCTATTAACAATTGCAAAATACTTTGTCTTATTAGATAATCAAAAGTGATAACCGATAACCATAGAGCTACCTACTATGATACACACACTACACTGGACTAGACTTGTATATTATTAATTTGTATTATTTGAGTAAACTGTTAAGTGTAATAACACTTTATTATTTTTTCAAACTATTAGTATTTTTTTTTTTTTTCAAAGACATTTCAAGGGAGGTTACAACCCCTTAACCCTCCTCTTGGATACGCCACTGAGCCCAATTACAAAGACTTGCCATAATAAATGAAAATAAAATACTTAATAACACATGAACATTATAGGTACATTAATTATTATTAAATGCATCGGGTCATGCAGAGCTCTAGTCCAAAACCTAAACCATTTCACATATAGCTGTAAGTCTTTTACCGTTTACCATAACATATAACTATCCTTCCGCAATTAGGTAAAAAGAAATTGATGCTACTAGTATTATCAAAGATTAATTTAAGAACCATAAAATAATATGAGAGGTACTCTGTGTTAGAATGACTCGACATTATAATCACAATTAAAAATAATAATAAAAAAAAATAATCTTACTCGTTTTTTTTTTGTAATTCATATAATTTTAATTGCTTAACATATTCAACATGTGTACCATCTCGCAATTGCTGTAGTTGTTTTTTGATAGCAGCTAATTTGTCCTGATAGACTCTGAAAATAAAAATAGATATAAATATTGATTTTTGACATTCAAATGTATGAAATCTCACTGCTCTTGTATATCAATACGTTTCTCAGTATTTTCTTTGCGTTCACCTAGAATTCAATAGAAACCATTTTAATTTATATGAAAAAAGTCCAAGATATATTCAAATCCGTTACATACCATCAGAGTCAGTTAATTCCTTTTTTTCAACTTTGTTGCTTTTTTCGTCATCGTCCAAAGAAATCGTCGAAGTTGGTGATATTTCTCTGTTATAAGACATAATTGCATCAAGACACTTAAAATGGTTAATAGGTCAAACAAAATGTACGTTATTGAATTGATAAACGAACTAAACAGTAATCTTAGAAGACTAAATTAGGGCAATATTGTAACTATTAAATACTAATAATTTACTTTTGAGTAGGAAAATAAAATAAAATAAACTTTTGGTAGAATCGAGAACAATGGACGCATAGCAGGCTATGGTGTATATATATAAGAATAATCGGAAAACAAAATGAGCGTCAGTCATATATTATGTTCAGTTTCTTCCCTGGAAAATGTTTGGTTACGTTATCACTTGTTATCATTATAGCTGAACAAAGATAATAAAGATTTTTTTTAATGATACGCCACTACTCTCCCACTACTTAAACTTGAAAGTGGAATGTCTGACGGGTTGTCGGAAATTAAAAATATTCAACACTAAAATTAATTTAAAGTAATATTCCGTCTATATATGAAATTTTCAACACAGGTTTTCATTTAAACAACCAAAGTTGGTATCGCCACAAAATAATCCTTAAATGTCGTGCAAAATCTAAGTATTCGAAAATATCGATTTTAAATAGATATACTTAAAAATTCCAAAAATCTGAATTTGAATATATTCAATATTTAACAAAAAAACGGAAGTCAGCACGCTTAGTGAATCACCCTGCATATAATTTGTCGTTAAAATAATTTAGAATAAGATATTCAAATTTTAAATTCTGAATGGAGTGAAGAAGCCCGTGGTTTTATAAAGATGTTTAATTTTTTTTTCTGTGGACAACTTTTCTACCAGAGAACTAACTCACTCCGATTTTCACATGTAGTAAATTTTCTGAAAAAAAAATCGTTGAGGGTACCTTAGAAAAGCCATTTTTTAATTTTTTCAAGATTGTACTCATTAAATGCGAAAAATCGAAAGAAAAAAACGAGAAAATTTACGAAATATATTTGTATAATATTACGATTTTTTTTTCTGTGGACAATTTTTCTACCAGCAATTTTGCTCCAACTTTTAATGGTGGCAATTTTTCTACAAGGAAATTTCACTTGGGGGGAGGGTACTTTAAAGAGGTCGTTTTTCGATTATCTCCGGAGTTTTCTCAGCAAATGTGAAAAAACATACAAAACCCGAGAAATCGGTACAATAATTATTATTAAAGAAAATATATAGAGCCTATTTAATTATTTTACTATAATATGGAATAATATATATTGTTGACAAAGCATCATTACCAACTGAACTCCGTTCAGAATCGTTTTTTCGTAAGCAATGGTTTATCGTTTCTTACAGGTATACATGAAATTACCTATAACAGTGGCTGCACCCGCCTCGTATTATGCTAGAACGTTTTTTACTACCAATATTTACAACCTCATGTACCTATTCACAAATAATACATAGGTCCAATAGTTATTGTACATATCTGTGTTATTATTAAAACAATTTTATCTTAGTCCCTAATTTTAACAAAATGTAGTTATCAGTAAACAAATAATAATTAGTCTCCGCCATCACGGTTTTATAGGAATTATAATAATTAACAGGTCAGACAAGTCCATCATTTACTGAGTTCACTTATAGTGGATTAATCTTTTATTTTTTTTCAAATTACATCACAATTTCAATATTGTTCTAATAGAAATACTACAAGAAACTTTTCTTGTTAAATTTATAATCTAGATAGTGACCAAGAAAGTCTTTTTTTGATTTTCTTTGTAAGATTTTTGTTAATTGCGTAAAACTGAAAATAACGGGAAAATTTACGAAAAATATATTTTAATGTATTTCAGTTAAAAATATTTCTAGACTTGCAATTTTGACAGAAAACTTGAAAAATTTGCTTTTTCTAAACGTGGTACCTATAATTTTCAAAACATTTAATTAATTGTTGAGCTGTTTATACATTTTAATTTTGAGTTTTTACATAATTTTTATTTGATAGATACTCTGTGGATAAAATTATTAGATATTATTATTATTTATGTATGGGTTAATAGATACAACATGGGTGGTAGCCGTAGGCTTCAAGTCAGCAGTAAGAATAAAATTATAAAAACTCTACCACACATCCAAGGTACCTGTCTGAAAAATGGAGCTATTGCACAATTTGACCCACCACTGAGTTCGTACATTAATAGTCAATTTTTTGGTAGACAAAAATTGTCAATGAAAAAATTATCTTTTATGTATGAAGATACATAGAAAGTCAATCAATATAAAAAAATAACATTTGTTTACCAAAAGTTAAAATGACCGCTAAAAAAAGCAATATCTTTTAACTTCTTATTGTGTAAAAATTAAGCTCTAATTAATTAGAATCATAGTATATTAAAAATAAAAAACTACAAAAGTATAGTTTTAAACATAGATTTAATGTTTCTTTTTTTTATTTACTGATACAATAATCAAATATAACATTAAAAAAAATAAATAAATATCTAGAAAATAATACAACATAAAAATATAATACAATGTATTAACAACCCTGTACATTTGTATATAATATTAATGCATATATTTTAAATAATGGCAACAAGAATAATAAAATAAATAATTATATATATATTATGTATATGAAGTTATAATTTTAAAATATAAAATATATGAATTAGTTATGGTGTATTTAAAATGAGCAATTTTTAATTAGGTAACACTGGAAAAAATAATTTTAAATGAAGGACGCATCTGTAGTAACACGAGGTAATACATGAGTTTGAACACCTTTAGTTGCATTGTACACTTGACCGGTTGAAAATGGTACCATTTTAGATTCTAACAAATAATTGTAATTTATAATATGTATACATATCATGTATTTCAGTGAATTTTTGGCGAGAATAAGAACAACTAACCCCCATTTAAATGGGATAAACCAATAAAGGCGAATAATGAAAATTGTGAAGAAATTATTATGATAGATCATAATGCATTTCAGTGAAATTTTAATTTTACCTGTATTTTGACGTGAATTTGATGGATAATAACGAAATATATTTAACGTAGGTATAGGTAAAAAACCACTCATCAATGGCATTACTTCTACTGAAATACTTTGTGTAATTGAGTTTGCTGGAAACGTAATGACATCTAAAAGAAACATTCACATTAATAATCAGGGCAAATTATATAATATTGTTAGGGAAATTAAGTTAATCTTGAATATATCATTAATGGTTACATTAGAATCACTAATCAACAATTTCACTAAAATAATAAATTGTATGTACACACCAGATCCACGACCACAAACTGCCCACATGGTTTTGTCTACAACAATTTCATACTTAAATGAAATTTCATTCTGAAGACTCTTTGGATGTTCAGTTCTTTTAAAATTTGCAGTGTAAGTACATACTGTATTCATGCGACAAAATTCTCCACTTTTACCAGCCACTTCAACTCCACTTTCAATTAACATTAAAGTCTGTTCAATACATAGCCAGTACTTTAATATGCTGAAAACACTTATGAAAAGTGTTTTAACAAACATTTTGATTTTACCTTATAATTGTTGAATGTAAATTCAAAATTTAAATCATGAGAACAGTCAAGTTTTCTAGCAGATGAATAATTAGTTTGGAAATTGAATTTTAATGAATCAGCCAAAATTCCCAGTGTGTTAATGTCTGTTGATGGTAAATCAATTTCCCATAAATAGCCAATTGTTTCACCATTTTCCAAGTACTATAAATTACTCAGGTATTAAAATATATTCCTTACAGTATTTATCATACATACATCACTAATATTGAGATAGGATAATGAGAAAAAAAAAATGGATTTACTAAATGTAAAATATACATTTTGCAACAATTTTCAAAAAAGGTGCGAATATGAAGAGGTAAATACCTCCAAAAAGGAACATTTCTTCAGGTCCACAGCATGCAATCTTCAGCCTAAATTTAAACCCCTAATGTTTAACCCAATAATAAAAGAAAAGTTAATGCTAGTTTGTAATATTTATTAAATACTTACAGTTAAGGGTTTAAATGTTGAGTTCAATGATGTTAACTTGACCATAACATTAGTAGGAGGCTGACTAATACCAATTATTTTTGGTTCTCTTAAAGCCAAAGACCAATCAGTATGACAAGTGATGTTTACACCAACAAATTTACGATAATGACAAGTGTGTAACCGATAAGCCACGGTAAATGGAAGACTAAAGTCTATAGAAACACAAATCACTTCTTCATCATCCAATGAAGTTTCACATTTTACCCATAGCTAAAATATATTTGTAGTCATTATTAACACATTATAAATATATTTTAAAAATTACCTTATGATGAACTGTCTTAGGATTGTCTTTTAAAGGTGGTAACTGGGCAAATAATTTAATGGGTAAAGATACTGAATTATTAGAACTCATTGAAAATGGAGATTTTACATATATTTCAGAACAAAATTCAGTATCATCTTTCATACAAAAAGTCAAGCCAGGCGTGGAATGTAATTGTATTTTATCAATAATCTAAAATTTTAAAATAGTAAAAAATAGACAAAATATTTTATAAAATATAGTTGACAAGAAAAAAAAATTTACTTTTTTTGATTTTGTTCCAAACTGAAGTGACAATATAGACATTTCTTCAACCCCGGCAAATAAACATTGATTATCTGATAAATCAAGTCGAGCAGTTGAGTTGACATTTTTCAACGCAAACATAAGGCCAAATGGTACACTTGTCAAAAGTTCTAGACGAGATTCTAATAATATGGATAATTTGTCTAAAAAGTAAATTCCAGATTCCATATTTTTGGAATTCTAAAAATATAAAAAATATAAATACATTAAATATGCTTTCTAAAACATAATAATTTAATTGCAAAGTAATTGTTATATACAACTTTAACTCTACATAGAAATTTAAATAGATTTCTAAATTTTATTAGCAATTTATACATTATTGTCATTTTGATAATAATACAAATATTGAGAAATATTAATATTTACGTTCAGTGTTAGATCAATAACATTTATCCCCGGTGTAATAGTAACACTATTTGCAGATATTATATCATGAAAATCATTTTTATTAAAATTTGTTGATGGTTTTCGTCTTTGACTATCTTGTCGTCTATATAAAAATAAATAAATATAAGATAAATGTCAAAGAACTGAAGGGCAAGGGTATTTTCTGGTTCTTTATAGATGGTAGTCAGTTGGAAATTGTAATAAATTTGATTAAAAGTTTAACTTAAAGCAGTATTTTGTTTAAATTATTTATTATATTTTATTAACGGAAATAAGCATTATAATTTTAAAACTACTAGTGATAAATGACTTAATTATAATTTAGTACTGCTTACTTTAAGTATGATTTTTGATTTAAACAAAGTATACCAGTTGATGCAAAGTGACCATCTTGTTGATAGTTATGATTGTAGGCCATAGGTAATACATTATCTTTTTTTATATCATAACTGTAAGTACTTTTGGCTAAATTAAATTTATTTTTCATTTTCTTCATAGCAGAGCCAATAACCACAGAAATGGAAATTTTTGGACATACTACATTTCTAGGAAGGTTGCTTTTAAATTTTAATGAGACTATTGATGGGTAATTATCTTCATCATTACTTTTTACATCAATTTGATCCAAAACTATCACACCGTCCATTGGATAAAAACATTCTAGAAACCCACAAAAATAAAATACCTTTTTAAAAGAATTAAATACAATTTTAACTATATTTATATTTAAATTCCAATAATGTTATGTAAGAATGACCGCTGAATAGTCTCAGAATTCAAGATATATAAATATCTATATCTATAACAAAATTGATAATTAAAAATAAACAAACATACTACGAAAGATGAGTGGGCCACTGTAGTATAGGGAAATTTGAGAAGGTAGAGAGGAAATTGTATATCTGAACGCAACAATTAATCATTACTAACGAAAAAAGAGCAAAGTTCGGTTATACATATTTTGAAGTCATAATATCTACAATTTTAAAATAATACATTTCCTTAAATTGTCTAATTTTATCCCATTTATTATGAGATTTAAAAAAAATCTTTGTTAGATCCTTTTAGTAACAGTATTTATTATATTTATAAGGTTTTAAAATTGAAATATAAAATTTGTATTAAATACAATTTACTATTCTTCAAATTATGTTTTTTATAATTATAATTTTTATTAAGATCAAAATTGTTCCAGAACAATATCAAAATTAAATACATTGTTATCATAAACCACTTACCTACATTTGATTCCTGAATCATACTTAACATTTGATCAAAATGATTTTGTCTAACTTGTATGTTACATTCAGATGATGAAGCTAACTGTAAACAAGTTTTAACAAACCTAAAATTTTAAAAAATAATTAATTAATTAAATTAATTTAATGATATAATGATAACAAAGGTAAAAACCTCGATAACAATTTGATATGATATAATCAAATAAACATACTGATCAACATTGCCGATTTTTTTAAAACATTTGACTAATTCTAAATTTGTTTGTACTATTAATAATTTCCAATTATCTTGTTCAAATAATTTTAGAGCTTTAACCAAAAATGCAGTTCTCTTGGTTGTATCCCCAGATAAAGTATAAAATTTAGCTAGTTCTAAACCAACCAAACTGTGTGCACATCTCATCAATTTATTATGTTTATATGTGCTTATAGCTAACTCGGCAACATCCTAAATAATAAATAGTCTCATTGATATAATTTTACAAATATTATATACAAACAATATTTTAACAGACCAAATAATGTTTACTAAATGTTTCGGAAGATGATAGAGCAGTTTTAAGTGTTGCTACAGATTCAGTTGCTGCAGTCAAATCGTGACCACTTTGCATTCCACTACATAAAACTTGTACAGTGTGAAGTTGCTCAGTGGTTTGAACACTGTCTGGTAGTAAGCCGCAAAGTTCACCCAACTCATATAACTACAAAATAAATAAATATTAAAACAATTCATGGTAAGTTGCTATGTAAAAAATAGTAACATACTTTTTTTAGAGAATAATATAGAAGTGGAGCTGTATGATGAGAACATTCTTCTAAATGTGCTGATTTTTTTACAGTTTGGCAAATTATTAATATTTGAGCACAACACTGCAATACCCAACAAGCAACTGAACCTTTTGGACAATCAATTTCCAATGTTTTTAAGTCACTTACTGCCTGATGGAGAAATATTAATGCTCTTTCAGCTACCTGAAATGTACAAGCATAATTTTCTTTGAAGTGTTATATAAATTAATAATGTTAATCAGAGAATCTAAATATTTTTTTATATGTTAAATAAAATAAAAAAACATAGTTTTAAAATTTGTATTTAATAGCTATTAATTTCAGAGTTATATCATTATCAGGTTACATATTTATATTACATTGATAAATTACTTACAATTACTCATAATATAAAATGAAACAAAAAACAATTTAGCAATAGATAAACTATACAGATTATAAAAGTGATATTTTATTTGTCTTCTTTCATAATAATGAATATAATTATGTCTGTGATCACATAAATTAATTTCAATTTTTTCAAATTATTTATTTAATTATTTTAATTATTTAATTTTATATTTTAATATAGATTATTTATGTTTCCATATATTTTGCTTTTTCTTATTACTATATTGTAATTCATGTATCAATATAACATAAATTTGTAACCTAACGATAGAATACATTTCAAACAAGGAATTAAGGAATAAATATTTTAACACATCAAGTCAATGTCACATTTTATTTAATAAAAATTAGCAAATCAAATAAAAAGAACACGTACTTGCCAAGGTTTAGATGCAGCCATTAATAGGGATGCTTGACGAGAAAACAAATAGCACCTGAATTCAAGAAGAGATAGCTTTCTATTCTTAATGGCTTCTCTTTGTGTTCGACTTATATTTTCCATATATAATACAGCAGACCACCGTTCTAAGACTCCTTGAAATTCAGTCAACCAATGGGGGACGTCTATATTAACAACAATAAAAAAATAAATAGGCTAAATAAAAATCACAAAAAAAGCATATTTTTTTACTTCCAACTGGTGAATTTAATATAAATTGAGTAAACATGGCATCTAGTTCATCATATTGAACTAAAGCTTCATCATGAAGCCCAAGCATTTGGAGGGCAAAAGCCAATTCTTCCTACACAAACATAATTTGAGTTTAAAATATAAATTTACATATATAAACATATAAATTATAAGATTAAAATGAATGACTATTACTTGGTACAAAAAATATTTGCAAAAACTCCAAGATGGATCATTTCGCTGTTCTCTATAATTTCTTATGTTATCTTCATATTTTAAAAACAATCTATCAAATGCAGATAAAATTAATAAACGTACATTAGCAATTAAAGCTCGCCATGCACTACTGCCACACCGTACTTCTGATTTAGGAGGATTTATTACAGATAAACAGCTAAATAGGAATAAAATACTGTAATTAATGTTTAATAATGATTAAATAAATTCAAAGCGTACCGATCAGCTTTTTTTTCTGCAAAATCACTTTTGATCTTGTCAAAGACAGTTGTTCGTGGCAATAACTTATTATGTTTTCTCAGATCATACGTTTCAACTACAACTATTACCCAATCAATAATGTTATGCTTATTCATTTCGAACATCCATTTTTCTATTTCATCTCTTAATAATGATTTGTACACTTCCATATCCTAAAAATAATTCAAAAAATAGTTAAGATTGAAACTATTGCAATAATAGTAGTAATAACACATGTTTTAATACAATTATGATATTTTTCAATATATAACTATTTTTTTATTAATGTTTAATTTTAAAAATTAAAAATTGAAGAGAAATGATTTTACGAAAATTTAGATAAAGATATTTGCAAATTACTTACTAAACACTGTGTCCAAAATGTATGCATTATTGGACGGCCAACTAAATTTCGACTATTAATTTGTTCAGCAACGGCGTCCTTGTTAAATGGTACAAATTCTGTAGATAATGTGACCATTTTCATAGGTCTGGCATACTGGCGTCTCCATTCAATCGGTTCTTGGCTGAGCGACTGACTGAGCACCAGTTTTAAATTTTCAAACAATTCCTTGTCACCGGCATCTATTAAACAATCATTCATCAATCACCATGAGTATAATGTAAAATTGGAGATAAAAAAACACTCACATGTGATCAGAGGTTTGTGGTCGGATATCCGAAGTGCATCGCCACCAATTGGATTCGCAGTGGTCATTATTATGTTGCTTTACAAATTGAGTTCATCATAATATATAGAGATATAAAAGCGCATGAGCGTTGACGTGCGCCAACAATGAACCGTTGCAAGTAGCACATTGACAACAGAAATGCACTTATAATTGACAATTAATGAAAATTTAAGATATTAAATAAAATAACTTGGCCTATTTTTATATTTTTAAATCTGATATAATGATATGGTCCAATCATGTTTTTTGGTTCTTATCATTAAAGTGACACAAATTAAAAACACTATCTTGTTCACGAAATCCAGCTGACCACGGTTATGAAATTACTACAATCGTGATTCTGACCAACCACCACCATGGTCCGTAATAAACTTAAAAATGATATGAAGCATTGACAAGTATCACCAAATTTTATCAAATTAAAAAATGAATAAACTTAAAGCAATGAATTATCTCGACTAAAAATATCATAGAGTAAATGAGGTATTAAATTGAATCTTTTGTAGAATTACTGACTCTCTATGGTAATATGCAATAGAAATATATTGATTGTACAGTGCCGGTTTTTAGCTTGTAATTTAGAAGTTTTTCGCTACCTACAATAAAAACAAATTGTCACAAAATGTGTTCAAACCAAACCACAAATATGATAATTCCACAAAAAGCTGATTGCGTGTACACGTTATCCTATTGGTATGTATGTGACGTCTATAAATTTTAAGACCATGTTCATTTTGTTTATTCACACAAAATACAACATTTACTAAAGAAAAAAAGTATTTGATGTTTTGCATACGTCCATATACATTCCATCAGTATTCTATTCTGTAAATAAACCATTGTAAAAACAACTATTAAAAAATAGACAGTCAACTAAAATTTATTTGTTATCAAATAACAACAAAATTGATAGATAATAAATTTACATGGGTAAACTCACTATAAATGGCCCACCAATTTATTAAAATGTTTTTTAAATATTTGTATATCTATAAATTAAATTTATTGTATAATAAATACTAAAAACCTGCATGTATTATGTTTACATGTTAATGTCTAAACTGTTATATCCTTGGATTTTAGATACCATTCAAAATTGTAATATTATTGAATAATAATTAAGGTCATTTGACTGAATATAATAGATAATATAGGTAATATATTTATATAAATAAATTTAAACTATTTTAATGTTATATATACAAAAGCATTCAATGATAATGTTAATCTATGTAAAAAAGACAGAAGATATTGGTATAGATGGTTGGGCATTTTAAAGTTTATAAAAAGAAATAAATTATGACAAACAACTTAATTCTTAAAGGAGATTTACCCATGCTTATGATCCAACTAATTAAATGAAAAAAAAGTTCTGATAATAAAAAAGTAGTCTTGAGCGCAAGGGATGATAAGGATGTAGTAACTTACTCTGTATTCAAATGCGTGTCAGGCAGGGATGGGTTAATCAAGTATTATCATTGAGGTGCCCCCTAACGCATGCCCTGTGGGTCCTATATGGAAAACTATATTATAGTTAACAGATCTAAAACATACAATTCCTTATGGCTTAAATAATATATTGTATCTTTAAAATCAATTTATGAATATCTACATCAATTTATAATTATTATTTTTTTTTTTTCAGCGAAGAAAATATATGGCATTTAGCAAAACTGATATTGGACTTAAATAAAGCTACATCAGATCTTAAAGCGTATGTAATCCTATTGTCAAATTCAAACAAATGTGTACATTTATGGAAACAAAATAGTCCACAGAAAGATGGCCTTCTATTTTGGGTATTTTAAAATTATTATTAAAAAGAATAAAGGATTGTACAACAAATTAAACAAATTTTAAATTAAAAATAGTACTTGTGTATTAAGTAGAGCATTAAAAATTGACAAACAAAACAATTTTAATATCAGAGATTTAGAACCTTAACTATTATTATTTACTATGTTTACATAAAGATAACAATATAATGATTATAAATCAATGGGAAATTATATGTTCCTAGAAAAACTACTTAATTCCATAGGGCCTTGTTCATGCGCGGTATTAAATGAAAATATACAAAAATAAAATGTGTCTCCCAGTAATAATTAAAGTAATCCATTAACCACTGCCCGCAACATAATCACGCATAAGGTGCTTTATTTTTATTTGTAATAGCTATATAGAGTATATGTTATAGATCAGATAATCACGGTCTTATAATATAAACAACATAAGAGTGAAAAGACGGCTGGATTTTCAAATGCTCATAGTAACCTATCACCTAAACTTCCTACAAATAAACGCCTCAATTATTAATGGGAGGTGCTAGACACAATCATCAGTGAATTATTTATCAATTAGTGGTTGTGGAGAAAATTGACGTGCACACAACATCTATTTTTATAAATAATATATATCGATTAAAAAAAAATTTAATGATATCAAACCACTCATTTAAAACTATTTTAAATTTTGAAATCCTTGTGTAATACATTCAGTATTTATTTTAGTTTATTTATAAAAATTGCATGCTGATACAGAAGTGTTAAAATTTAAATAATAAATGATTGATAAAAGTTTAGAAATGTTACCAGATACAGTTTCATTCTATACTAGTGTCTTAAAAAATAATAATACGTTTTAAGTAATGGATAAGTTGTACCTATAATTTTTAGGATTATCATGCATTTATGATTACTGAACACCAAGATCAAACTATGGTTTTTGATTTCGATACTACGTTGCCATTTCCTGTTTCATTCTCTCAATATTGTAAGGAAGCTTTGAGAAATGATTTAAAGGAAATTCAAACATGGCGGTATTTTATGTGTCAGTAGTAATGCTATGATACAAATAAAAATTATTTTATATGCATTTAGGTTTTTCAGAGTTGTTGAGGCTAACACATATTTGACGGAATTTTCATCTGATAGAGGACACATGTTGGAAGGCGATCATTGGTTGGCAGAGCCACCAAATTATCCACCAATCTTAAACAAAAGTATACAATTTGTTAATTTTTTTAAATAAACATAATTTTAAACAATTTATTGATATTAGCATATTAGCAAAAATAATATACATTTAAAATCAATAAATAAAAATGTAATAATTTGATTGTAAATAGTAAATAGCTCATAATTGTGTAATTTGTTATTTAAATTATAACTGAATTTATTCAATATAAAAAGAAATTCAGAATACCTAGAGCCTACTATTGATGTTTATCTAATATGGAAGGAATTTAAAAAAAAAAATCAACATAAATTGTTATTATTCAATTTAAGAACTAAATAGTTTTAAATTTGAACAATACTGATGAGTAAAATACGAATTTATATGCACTTAAAATTCACAAAAAGCAATTAAAAACGTTAAAAAATATTTAAAAGAGCAATTATGTTTAGAATAGGAACATAGTTTAGTTAGTATACAGAGTATACTAAATGTATAGGAGTTTAAAAGTTTTCTCCTTTATTGTTTCTTACTTGATAAAATAAAATTAACACTAAAAAAATGTTTATTTCTAAGTAATTTTTTTCAAATAAATTTGTGTGTGTTATAAAAAAATAAAATGCTTTGTGTTAATCATTTTTCAGTGTTAGAAAAATGTATATAATGGGGTGAGAACTGTCAGAGTTGAGACTTTAAAACTCATCTACCATTTGCTTATTTAAATATTTTCTTTTTTATGAATTTTAATCACATAGATCCGTGCCCTACTGATGAGTAATTACTATATTAATATTATTTTAACAACTTGTTACAGAAAAAGAACATAACTTGGAGTCTTTTATATCAATGGAATGTTCAAATGAATATGGACAGGTGCTTAATCTCGATGAGTTCAAAGCTAGGTTTTCTTAGTATAATTAATTACATAATCTATTTGAATTTTAATGTAATTTACTTAAATTTACAATTATGTTTTACATCATCAAATAAAATTAGTTTGTAACAATATTTTAACTCTCAATTAAATAAATAATATTTTCATCCACGATTATATAGATTACATTACACTACCTATAATTGTGTTATTATTATAAGACTAATTTTAATTATTATGTTTTTATTCGTCAACATAAGTGTGCATGCAATTATACCTAATATTTATTGATATTAAACAAATATCTGATTGATTTGATGTATTATACATTTATAATATTATAATATTATTGTACTTATACTTTTTCAATTTTAATGGCTAAGTTGAATTTAAAATAAATACTTTTGATGAGTTCATTAATAATTTTTATTTGAACTATTTCTTGTTACCTATTATTTTAATAATTTTAATACCTAGATTTTCTGTACCTACATATTATTCCAATGAATAGAACTTATGTATTACTGTATATTTTCCTTATTACCTACACGTCACAGTGTGATTTTTAAAAGTAAAGTAAACTAAAATTTATACTTTTGATTTTTAGAAAGAAATGTAAGTACTGGGTGTAAAGAAACAAATGCTGGAAAAATAATTTAGCTACATAAATTAAATGAAAATAAAATTTATATTACACTGCACATAAATTTAAATTGTAGGAGTGTTTATTTTCAGAATGTACTATATTTGAGGGTTGGCGCCTAAAATTTAATCCGCCATTTTGAAAACGATTCAATTTGACCAGTTTCTCCAGGAATTATGTAGTGTTCGACCACACTGTTTATTATCGCAATGGTAGTTAATATCATAGAGTAATACTCTATCATGGTTTACATACATATTGATAACTCTAAGCGCAATGTTGTCAGATGGTGCGCAAGATTTTTGAATTCCAGTTATACATTTTTACTCCCTGAACGCTATATAGTCGATTTAAACTATTTAAAAATGGGTTTTCAATTGTTTATCACCGGAAAATACCGAAAATCACGATTTAATATCAGTTTCACTACACCACAAAATCGAACGTACTCTAAACTTGGAAAATAGTTTAAACTGGTGCACGTTTCTATTTTGTCATTGTAAAATACCGTGTTATATAATTTTATTGACATTCCGCTTGATGGGTATACCGTCACAGAAGTAACCCGACGTAGGTATGTAGAACAATAAATTAGTCACCTAGGGACATCGGGATAAAAAAAAAAAAAAACAAAACTGGAGTGCTACACCGATACGGAAAACAAGATAATGACGTTTTTAGACGCTTCTCCCATCACTGCGGGGCAAGAAAAAAATAAATATACTACCGTATCAGTTTACATAGTAGTACAATTATTTGGCATCCACATTGCGTACAAATATATTTTTTTGGTTTTTTCGTCGAATTGGTATTTATTTACCATTTCCTAGAGTACATATTTACCTAAGTGTACACCTATGTGGGTACACAAAAACAAAATTCAATTATTTATTTATTTATTTTCCAATTTATATTGTATAATAATTTATTATTTAATATGCAATATTATAGGTGTATAGATAATTGTTTAGTATTAGAAATCCCCAGTAGAAATACTGAAATATTTTTCCATTCGAAAATTAAAAATAGATAAAGGTTAGGTTTCTAGTAAACAAATATATAAATACAAAATATTTCATATCATAATACTCCAGGCTACGCATTCATTCATTTGTTTATTTTTTTTTATTTCCATATTTATTTACGAGTATTAACCAATTTTACAATTTTGTTTTTACCTTATTATTTTTTTTTTTTTGTGGGGGGGGTTCTTTGGTAACTATTTTTTCAGGGTTTTATGTAAGCTTATCAAGCATCGAGATCCATAGTTGTCATACATCCCAGAAAACCGGGACTGTCACCGGTTTTTGGCTTATTGTACCGGTGTCTCGAAAATAAATGTCGGTACGTCAATTATTTATTATGTCCCGGCTTTGAGAAAAAAAATATTATATAATTTCGACATTTTCTTCGAATAATAACTTTAGTCGAGAGATAACGATACGATTTTTAACGAATACGAGATAAAACAATAATGATAAAACAACAGATACATAATATTATAACTCTTTTATATATCTGTGGATAAAAACCTTATACAACCTTATATTTTTTAATCTTTCAATCTTCTTTAATCTAAAGAACCAGGTTTTCCTCATTATCTCGAATATTAATGAAAATTAAAAAAAAATGACCTCTTTAAAATACCACCCAGAAAACAATTCCTTTCGGAAAAGATGCTATACTTGATAATCGGAATATGCTTTCTGGTATAAAAAGTGTTCACATAAAAAAAAAAAATAAACATACTGTAAAACCAATACATTCCTCACTCCACCCAGAATCTAAAATAAATGTGCTCTTATTATCATAAATGTATTGTTTATAAAAATATAAGAACAAATTTTGTTGTATTGTTTTAGTTTACAAGATAATAAGAAAGGTTTTTTTTTAATACATAATAATATATAATATAATTGTAATTGGTATATAATTGGTATCTATTATGATTTAATCATATTTTCAGTCTAATTTTATTTACTATTTTTTCTAATGGTCCGAATTTGCTTTAAGAAATTATGGCAACCCTACCGAGAAAGATAGCAATATTGTATTATTGTGTAGCAGTAATGAACATTTTTTATACTTCATAATTTTTTATATTTGAGGCAAAATAAAAAAATTAGGACCTACCCGACACCCACTCTAAAGTGGGTGTCTAAAATTTTTATGTTCTATGAATAATTTGTTTTACAGCAAAAATCTAATTTAGCTAAATTAACTACATAATAATTTAGGCTATAATGTTTTTATACAGGTATATTAATAATATAATACACAAAACAGAACATATCTTTCTGATCTCTGAACTAGATAATCTTAATCAACATTCATCATAATTTAATCACCTATCTTCCACCAATTTTAATCATAATAATGATTTAATCAAAATATGCAATTTTATGCCTTAAAATGTACCTATTTTTTAACAAATATAAGTAATAAATATCAAAATATGCAATTATATTTCTTATAATTTATTTTATTTTCAACAGAATAATGTATGAAATATACCTAATTTTCAACAAATACATGCAAAAAAGGTGTTCATAATAATTTAAAATAAATTATATTTTTTTAATCTAGTAATCTACAATAGGAAATACCCACTGTACCTACCTACAGTAGGTGTATAAATAACTAGGTATGTCAGCAATTTTTATCAGTAACGCTAACGCTAGAGTATACGTAGTGATATAAAGTGTTTGATTAATAGTTACCATACACATTTTGAATTATTTAAAATTGTTTAATATACGATACTAAATCTAGCAATAAATCTGAACTCGGGACATATTGCACTTAAAATTCTTAAAAAAAAACACTTAATAACGTCAAAAAATCTTTGATAAAAAGCACTTCAAGCAAATATTATTAGACCAAAATGGTAGAAGGGTTTAAAGGTCCCCTGTATAGTGACTCTAAATTATTAAACACAATTTTCTAACATGACACAAATGGTTAATTAAAAGTTATTTTTGTTTAAATAAAATTGTACGTATAATTAAAAAAATTACTTTATTTTAATAATTTGTGTAACGCTAGAAAATTTTAATTAATAAGTCGAAGCCGTTAGAGGGAAAACATGTATACCCTTCTACCATTTTTGTTTTTTCTTATAGCTTTTTTTGACGTTTTTAAGCGTTTTTTTGTGGATTTTAAATGCAACACTTCTGAGCTCTAAATTTAGTTCTAAAATAACTTGAGTTTCATTTATTTTTTCCTAATAGAAGGAACGGGAATTTGCGTTCACGTTCCACATAAATAGGAACTCTTTCCCATTCTTCGTTCCTATATTAGAAAAGGAACTCGTTCCCAGCTTCGTTCCTTCCCAACACTGATAAATTCATTAAACCCTCTCAAAAAGGCTATTTTTATTTCATAGGTGGTGGGTGTCTTAAATTTGTTAGCCTCTTGGGTTAAAAAGGATCGTCATGCCACTGTACATGACCATATCATTCCCCTTGAAATTCTCTTCACTCATCAGTGCCGTGGAAATAAAACGTGAAACACTTAATGTGTGTAAGTTTGCATCGCTATGACGTGACGATTTATTTAGTTGTCTATTTGTCATAATCACGGCGCTCATTGTGAAAATTGCTAAATAGACTAGATTAATGGCAGATCTACATATGGAAAAGGTTGCATTTTTTATAGACCCCGACATTTTGGGAGTTTGATTGACCACTGAATTTAGCTTAATTATTGTCTTTGTATATGCAATCAAAAACAATAATGTGAGGTTTTTACGACTAATGATTTTAAAATGTACACACAGTATACTGTTTAGTGTTCATATAACATAATAATAAAAATAGATAGGCACCTAATATAAAGCGGACCCGGGACCGGAGCCTAAGGTTGCCGTGGTAAGGACCGTTATATGAAAAATACTCGGAATTTAATGCTGGCTTGAAATAATTCTATCGGAAGTACCGCTGACCAATTAAACACATAAACGAATCAATTGTTGCTTCGTGGATACCGTCGTCGGAAAAGTTGATGAGAGCCCGCCAACCGAGTAAATATCTTTTCGGTGCTTTTTGAAAAATTTTTTCACGAAAATGAATTGCCCATAATACACCATTCCGTACGTTTTTCTAATTGATCACAATTCACAATGCGTCATGCGTGGCGTGTTTCTTTTATACTAATCCGATTTACATATTATACGTTAATACCTAATTAAAATGACACGGAATTTGCTGATGATTGCCAAAAGCACGACAATTGTGACGTACGTTCTCTTGACAGTTTTGTATTGCCTGTACGCGAAAAGCCCTAACACCGCAGTCGCAGTACGGCACACGTCATAATAAGGTACGCGTGTATATCCGGCAAATTATATTCACGGGGTGAATTTACTTATTGCTAAACCAAAAGGATCGCCTACTCATTGTCGCTGTTCACCAGGGAATAAAATCACCACACGATGGCCGTTTTACTAGTAAAATCGCCTGTGTAAATTCGCTATACATGTCCGTGAGCAAGAGATTAAAGATTATATTTAGTTTTACTAGTACACGTATACCTACGACTTTATTTGCTGACGAGCGGCTAGTATATAAATACGTTCATGGCCAGAAAATGCAACTGCTCCACCTCACGTTTTGTTAAGTCGTCTAAAACCGAAGAAACCCGTACCACCGCCTTCACCGGTTACTTCAAAAGGAGAGATTACCGTCAAGTTAATCGGTATGTGTTATATAAATTCTAGGATGTACGCCTGTATAAAT